AATCGCGACCAGTGTTGCCGTTTTAGCCCTTTGGTGGCTAGATTTAGCTACCACATACTTTTTTTGGCCACGTAAATTTGAAATTGCCCCTAGCCCTTTTTTTAGCCTTTTGGAGAATTTATTCATACATGGCGTGAAAAAGTTTTATATGCTTAATTTGATCTCTTTTTTTCATTTATGTAAGATATGAATCTTTAAACTAAGAAAGACTGATATACATATATACATATATGTATTGTATGTTCCTTACGTTTTTATACATAAATACTGTAAAATAGTTAGGGCTGTTCACTTATCTATTAGCGATTTAACTATAGTTTAATGCTTAATTTGTTAAATGGCCCATCATGTCGATTGACCGTGTATGTTCTTGTGGTGTGATTGAACCAGCTGCTGGTGCGATTTCAAAAACTATTTGAAAGTTTTGTGATTGTACCAGCATGCTGGTGTCGTGAGTGGTGAAATTAGCTCAATTTACTAAGTAAAAAGTATTATGGCTGAAATTTCCTGCACTATATGAGTCAAAGCAGTGTTTGTGGAAGATTAAGTTCGCGATATTGCAGTTGTGAATTAAAAAAAAAAAAAAACAATGTTTAACAAAATGGTAGGAAAATTGTGAAATTTCGGCTCTAATCATTTTGATCTTTCCTCGACCTCATTTGTAAAGAAATAGATATTGTACCAGCATGCTGGTAAGTTATATGCTTCAAGCCTGATGGTACAATCACTTGATGGAGCCAGCAAGCTGGTGTCGTATATTTCCCCTTTTATACAAAAAGGTTTAGCTTTTTACCCAGTGTTCATTGTTTTTCTATACCATTACTTATTCAAAATGTTTGTGTGTATACTTATATATGTATATGTAAGTACAAAATTTTAGCTACCATTTTTAGCCACAACGACTTTTTTTAGCTCTTTTTTAGCCCTTTTTTTAAAGGAATTTGGCTACCACTAAAATTGATTCGCGGCAACACTGATCGCGACCACAATCCAGAAACTCATTATTAAACTTTTTGTTAAATTTGTCAATAAAAGTCCATTACAAATTAAAAGAGTACAACGAAACTCAAGTCTTCATACGCAAACGTCAAAGCTGTGAAGCTGTGTTTTTCTGTGATCTGTTTAAATTTTGTGTTTTATAAAGCTGTTTACGCTTAATAAAGTAAAAAATTTAAAAAAGTGTTAATAAACTTCTGGTGCACAATTTAAAGATAAGTAAAACATCAAAATTTCCTGTAAATTTGATTAATTGAACTTGATATTCTTAATTGCATGTGCCGAGTATTTTGTTTCATATAATATATTGTTGTTGTACAATTGTTTTTGTTTGTGCACATTGATTTTGCTCTTTTTGATTTTTTATATGTCCAAATAAGTTTGGAAAGGTCTTGGATCTCGTTTACGTTGATGATGTTCCGAAGGCCTCTATTAATCGGTGTGATCCCGTAGTTTTGCCGGAAGATGCATACCATCCTGCTCTTGAGTTAAGCTACGAAATCATAAATGAAATACATAGTAATAAGTCAAGTTCAAGTACTAGATATGTTTTTGCGAAAGCAAATTTCAGGAAAATTAAGAAAGAACTTTCAAAGTTA